AGATTAGAATTTGATCTTGCGTGCATGTGCATCTGTTCATGTCTGCTTAACTTTTCCCTGTGGCACTATAGCATAGCTGATGTTGAAGGCACTGTTGTAGGTTGAGCTGGAACATGGAAGACCTTACTAGTTGTGGGGGAGATAAGAAAGGTTTCCAATGTAGGTGGTGCTGGCATAGCCTCTGGGAGTAAGAGGAGGTGGCTGGGAAGGCATTCCAGGGAAGGATGCACATGCCAGAGATTGTGGATAAGGAACCTGACATTTCCAGAAACTAAAGGTTGTTTGTTTTGTTGGAGTATAAATATTAGAAGGGTGGAAGAATGGCAGGAGATGAAGCTGACCTGATAGAACAGATCCTGAATGGTCTTGTATGTCATTTATTCGTTCACTCAGTAAATATTTATTGAACAAGTACTATATAAAAGGAAAGTACAAATAGTTCATGCATTGGATGGTAAATGGAAAGGTTAGAGGTTAGAGCCCATCCAAAAAGCACCTGGGGAGAAAGGCTTGGCGATCAACTATCAAAAAAATATTAGCTATTCATACACTATATAGAGGTTAGTTGCACTCAGAGACACATAGGCTCCCCATGAAACAGAACTGATTGACCTGTAACTGGAATCACCTGTGTTATGCTCCAGACCCTGTTCTAGGCACTAAATGTCAGCAGTGAACAAACCAAGTAAACATCACTTACCATTTAACTTTATTCTAGTGGGAAGAGACAGACATTAAATAATACTCAAAATCTATAAATAGGCACATAGTATACTTAATGATGAATGATAAGAAAATTTGGCAGGAGGGAGGATATGAGTTTTACAATTTTAGGGTAAAAAAAGAGGCCATACTGAGAATGTGACCTTAGCATAAAGTTTGGAAGCTAGTGAAGGAGCCAGCACTCAGAACTGAGGGTATATGCAGAGGCCCTGAATTCGGATAATGATATATTCTAACCTGAAGTATTTTGGAAAAACATTCTTCTAAGTGGTACAACACTCTTCTGTCAACCTGGGGTTGCTGTGATTCTGAACCTTGGACCATTAGAATGTCAAATGCCATAATGGTTATCAGTGATGGACAGTATTTGGTGGAGCTCCCAGATTAAGACAAGTTTGGAGCAGAAGTGGCATCTACTTCCTAAACAACATGCCTCTGGAAACTATGAACTTTAAGAAATGACAATAGTTATAGAAAGGCTTCAGGTCTTCTGTTCATTGGGTTGTTAGGAGTCGTGCTTTACTCATTGGCAGTCAACAACAAAAATAACCTTAAGTACCACCAGGGTTCTCCTTAGAGGCAAGGATGATGAAACTTCATCTCACATACTTTCGGCCTGTTATTAGAAGGGGGCTAGGCGCTGGGAAAAAAGACATCATACTGGGACATGGGGAGTGTCAGAGGAAGACCTTCAACAAAATGAATTGGCATAGGTGACTAGAACAATGGGCTTACGCATATCAGAGATGACAGGAATGGCACTGTATAGAGTTAGATTCAGATCTGTTGTTAATCGGGTCATTATGTGTCATAGTCAACTTGATGGCACATAATAGTGCCCACCACAGCAGCAATTTTATACCAGTTAAGAGACTATTGAAATACTCTAGAGGAAAGGTGCAGGCTTAGAGTGATAGCAGTGACCATGGTGAGAAATGCCCTCTGAAGATAAGTTTTTTATCCTATAAGTGATAAGGAGCCATTAAAGACTTGATCAACGCAGTGTCTTGATTTGTGTGTTATAAACATCATTTTGGCAGCCATGTGTAAGGACTGGAGAGCCAAAACAAGGAACTAGATTGCACCAATTACTCAGAACAAACACAGAAGACCTTCGAGCGATGCAATCTAATATTCAGAGACCCCCATGGGGCAGGATGTCAACCCTAGCCAGCTTCTTAACAAGAAACAGGAATTCAAAAGATTTGCACATTAGGAAGGTCCTTTGTAAAGCTTTCCAAGGAAGCATGGCAAATGAGCAGGCTTGTTTTAGAGGCATCTTGCGTGGTGACAATGGCAGAACCTTAGCATGTACTGGGCACTGCTGTGGACACTGTACTTGCATTAACTCATTTAATCTTTCCCACAGCCCTAAAGGGAGCACTACCTCTACTCTACTCCGTTTTACACATGAGCAGGTTAAGCACTAGTTTTATCTTTACTAGGGTGAAAAATCCCATTGGGAGATTCAGAATTGTCTTATTGTTTATCAAATTAAGTGTAAAATA